CTCGTCCGTCACCCACAATGGGAAGCAGGTGTGGAGGGGACCCAGCAGGGATGGGTGTGGTAATCTGGCAGCAAGCAGCAGGGGCGAAGGGGGCAAGGCCAGGGGGCCGTGCCAGGGCGCAGTGGGCAGTAAGGATGGGACGAGGGCCCTGTGGGCTGAATGGGGTAAGGACCCGGACGGGAGCTGGGCTTGGTATTGTATTCCTGTAATCCCAGCCCTCAAGAAGCCTGCGGCAGGAAGGTGGCAAGTTCAAGCCCAGCCTGGGCAGCTTAGTGACTTAACCAGACCCTGTCTCAAAATAAAAAAATTTAAGAAGGGCTGGTAATACGGCTCAACGCGAGGGCCCCACCTTTAACCCCCAGTATCACCAAGCCAAACCACACCAGAGCTGACGCACCCCTGCCTGCTCACAGCTGGTGATGACCGTGGGCCTCCTGGCTGTGGTGGTCTACCTGTACACCGTGGTGGCCTTCAACTTCTTCCGCAAGTTCTACAACAAGAGTGAGGATGAGGACGAGCCTGACATGAAGTGTGATGACATGATGACGGTGAGCCCCTCTGCCAGAGCTCACTGGGCTCTCTTCTCCTATCTGTCAAGGGAGTTAGTAGCACCTAGCCAGGTGGGCACAGTGGCACTTGCCTCTAATCCCAGTAACTCTGAGAGACTTGACAAGTTCAAGTCCAGCTGGGAAACTTAGCCAGACCTTGTCTCAAAAAAAAAAAAAGCTGTGGTGGCGCACGCCTCTAATCCCAGCACTCGGGAGGCTGAGGCAGGAGGATTGTTGCAAGTTCGAGACCAGCCTAGGCTGCAAAGTGAGCTCAAGGCCAGCCTGAACTGCATAGCGAGACCCTGTCTCAAAAAGACACACACAAAAAAAAGCAAGCAAGCAAAAGGAAAGACAGAAAAAGTTGGGCATGTAGCTCAGTGTTAAAGCCCTGGGATTCATCTCCAGTACCTGCAAAAACAAAACAGAAAAAGGATACCTATTTCATTGGCTTGTTGTGAGGGTGCAGTGAGCTGGGCCATCTAAGGTACACTGAACAGTGCCAGGCACATGAATGCTCCCTAAATGTTAGCTATTGTTCCAGTACTGCTTGAGCTGCTAAAACTGTATATGATTTGGCTGAGGCTGTAGCTCAGTAGGAGAGTGCTCCCATAGCATTCATGAAGCCTGGGGTTCAATTCCCCAGCACCACAAAAATAAATAAATAGTGCCAACTTCACAGGGTTTTTTGGAGGACTACAACATGCCCCCTGGACATTGAAGGCCCAGAATGGGAATTGGGGTATAGCTAGTTGTAAAGCATGTACTTACCATGCACAAGTCCTGGGGTTTGATCCCCAGCACCACAAAAAAAAAAAAAAAAAGAAAAGAAAGAAAAGAAAAGAAAAAGTTGGGCCTGGGGATATAGCTCAGCGGTACAACACCTGCCTGGCAAGCACAAAGTCCTGAGTTTGTTTCCCAGCACCAAAAAAAAAAAAAGAAAAATAAATAAAAAAGTCTCAGAACAGTGCCTGACAGGTATTAAAGCTTATTTAGCCAGGCGTGGTGGTGCATGCCTGTAATCCCAGCACTCGGGAGGCTGAGGCAGGAAGATCATTGCAAATTTGAGGCCAGCCTGGGCTACAAAGTGAGTTCAAGGCCAGCCTGAACTGCATAGTGAGACCCTGTCTCAAAAAGACCAAAAAATAAATAAATAAATAAATAAATAAATAAATAAAGCTTATTTAAATGTTAATTACATTACCTGTAATTTTAAAAGTGTCAGTGGGCCAGGTGTGGTGGCACATGCCTGTAATCCCAGAGCTCTGGAAGGCAGAACCAAGAAGATTGCAAGTGCAAGCCCAGCCTGGGCAATTTAGCAAGACTTTGTCTCAAAATAAAAATAAAGGGCTGGGGTTGTAACTCAATGAAAAGGCCCTGGATTTGAACCTCAGCATCAAAACAGGGAAACAAGAAAACCCAGCATGCAGTTCACGTGTGCATTTCCTCCTCAGTCCTAACAATGGTGACCCTAACTCTTAACAACTTTACCTTCCTAGAGGCAGAGGCCATAAATGAAGGTGTCATTTCAGGGAGTGAATCTCAGAAGGTGACCTGTAACCTAGCCCCATGGGTCCCTGCCTCAGAAGAGCCCAGCCCCTCAGTCCGACATTTGAGGCCTACAGGCCTGGCCCTGCCGCCCACGGCTTTGTTCCTGTCAGTCCCCGGCCTTAGTTCATCCCCAAGATGGGTTCACTTCCTTCCTGGGAACACAGAAAGAGCAAGCGTGATGCCCTTCCCAGGTGCCCCGCCCTCTCCTCTGCTCGGAACCTTCTTGTGCCTCCCTCACACCCAGGAGGTGACAATGAGTCACGTGCCATGGCTTACAAAGCCAGGCTGGAGCTGACCCTACTTGAGTCTAACCTTTCTAAGTCTAACCACAATCCCTCTTGCTTTTTGCTTTCTGGCTGCCTAGTCCTCTTTCAGTTCCTCTGAGACCATGTGTTTCCTTTTGATTCTGGCCTTTACATCTGACTTCTCTCTGCCCCCACCAGGGGCCTGACATGCACACACACACTCCCTTCTCGGGACACCACCCCTCCCAGTCTCTGCGCTGCCTCCTACAGGAAGTGCTCTCTGCCCATGCCTGGGCTGGACACTGCAGAACCCATGGAACCACACTCTGCTTCATCTCAGGCCCTGCTCACACAAGCTCCATCTTTTCAGCCTCACCAAACCCCTTTCAGTTCCTCACAGCAGCAAGGTGGTTTTTTTGTTTGTTTGTTTGGTGTGGTATTTGGTATCAAACCCAGGACCTCTCGCACGCTAAGCAAACACTCTACCACTGAGCCGCATCCCCACTCTACAAGATTTACTCTTTCCTCCCTGGTGGTGACGTAGCACATGTGGTTTTCTCTGCCTGGAACACTCTCTCCCTCCACCCGTTCACCTCACACCTCCTTTGAGTCCCAGCTCACACTCTTAGCCTCTTCCAGGAAGCCTCACTGATCAACCATCACCGGGGCTGGCTCGGATGCCCCGCTGGGCTTTCAAGGCCCTCCCCACCCCAGCCCCAAGGCCTCTGCCTGTGCCTTCCTGTCTCACGCAGGGCCACTTCTGGGCTCTCACTTCCCGATGCCGTATCTGTGACCCCTGACAGACCGGGAGCCCGGGGCCGGCCCCTCACTGCTGCGTCCCCAGCCTCACCTAGCACAGGCCCAGGCTGGACTCAGTGAGGCTGCATGGTGGACTGAGTGGTGGATATGCTCCTTCTCCCCAGTGTTACCTGTTTCACATGTACGTGGGTGTCCGAGCTGGCGGAGGCATCGGGGATGAGATTGAGGACCCAGCAGGCGACGAATATGAGCTCTACCGAGTGGTCTTTGACATCACTTTCTTCTTCTTTGTCATTGTCATCCTGCTGGCTATCATCCAGGGTCAGCACTGGGGTTTTGTGTGTGTGTGTGTGGGGGGGAGTGCTCAGTGCCCAGAGGCTGGAGTTAGCTCCACAGCTGAAGGAGCAAGCCCAGGGTCCAGTCTGGCTGGATTCCTATCCCTATCCCAGCCCTGCCTCCCCCTACTGTGAGACCTCACCAGATAGCCTGCTGGGGCCTCATCTTCTCCATCTGCAAAATGGAGGCATTCGTGGTACTAACCTCATGGGGTTGTCATGTGGACTACAACTCATACCTTTAAGTGTCTCCTAGTAAGTGCTCAATAAACCCCTAGTTTCATCCTTAGGAAGCAGGGTAAGACTGAGGAGATGGGGGATGGAAGGCCAGGCCCGGAGGTGGGTAGCTAGAAGGGAGAGTCTTAACTGGGTCCAAGTCAGGTGCTGATCTGCGTCGTGCCACTCCAGGTCTGATTATCGACGCTTTTGGTGAGCTCCGAGACCAACAAGAGCAAGTGAAGGAGGATATGGAGGTGCGTCATCTGTGAGGGTGACCTGGAGGGATGCTGGGGGATGTGGGGGTCAAACGAGCCTGACTCTGATGTCTTTCACAACCTACAGACCAAGTGTTTCATCTGCGGAATAGGCAGCGACTATTTTGATACGACGCCTCATGGGTTTGAAACCCATACATTAGAGGAGCACAACCTGGCCAATTACATGTGAGCACAGGGCCCCTGGCCAATCAGGAGGATGGGGCGTGGCCTCTGCCAACTAGGGGCGGGGCTACTGAGCCTTGGCTACTTAGGGGACGGGTGTGGTATACATGGGTGGAGCCCCAGAGAGCCAATCAGAAGGTGAGGGTCAGAATGGGGGTGTGGCTCAGCTCTAGAGATGGCCCTGGATTCCGTCCCCAGTGCTACCCTAAGCGAAAACAAAAAGTAAGAATGGTTCTTCCCTGTCTCCCTCAGGTTCTTCCTAATGTATTTGATAAACAAAGATGAGACAGAACACACGGGTCAGGTATGTTATTAAACGACATGGACAGGGTCATGAAAATTTAATATTCGGCTAATCAGCAGATGGCAGTAGAAAGCCAGAGTCAATATCAAGCCTTTTAAAATGTGACCAAGGCCGGGAATATAGCTCAGTGGCACCGCGCCTGCCTGGCAAGCGTGAGGTCGTGAGTCCGATTCCCGGTACCAAAAAAAAAAAAGAAAAGAAAAGAAAAAAGAAAAGAAAAGAAAAGAAAAGAAACTGTGGCAGTTAAAATGTGACCAATGGATTCTTCTTATCCCCAACATAGGAGTCGTATGTCTGGAAGATGTACCAAGAGAGATGCTGGGATTTCTTCCCAGCTGGTGACTGTTTCCGCAAGCAGTATGAGGATCAGCTAAGCTGAGATACCCCCAGCTGGCCCTCCATCCCCACCTCAAGTGCCTTATTCTCACGGCAACCCCTGAGCCGCTCTGCCCCTCCCCGCAAGGCAGCTGAGGGAGAGGCGACCTTGTACCAGAGAAATAAAGTCTGTGCTGCACCCCCGCCATCACTGTGTTGGGCTGCTGAAATTTTGGGAGAGTGGGCATCCAGAAATTCTGCCTTTCCCCAAAAAAGACAAGATGGCAGCAGAGGCTAACACCATGTTTATTGGAAGACTGGGACATGATGTGGCCACTAGTGTGTCTGTCGAAGAGAGAACGCAGGGTCTGGTTCCCGACACCCCGCTAAGGACTCATTCCTGGATATAGAGGTTGCTGGGGGCAGTAGGATCATCTGCGGGTCGTGTCTCCACCACCACAGGCCTGGGAAGGGAGAAGTCAGCTCATTCGTTCACTCATTCCTGCATTTGTTCATTCATTCACAAAGTGGTCAGTAATCTGGGGCACAACAACGAGCACAGTCCCTGCCCTTGTGGAGCTCACAGCTGGAGGAAGACCAACACAGACCAGTGAATTACATAAGTGCAGAGCAGCAGGGGGTCAAGCAAGGAAGCTCTCCCAGGAGGTCAGCCAGGGCTCCACTGAAGGATGCATGCTGGAGCCTGAAGGAGGCTCAGGGGGGCAGTCGGGGAAAGCACAGGGAAGGGTGTTCTGGGCAGAGAACAGTCTGTGCAAAGGCTCTGAGGTGGAGGGAGGTTGGGGCTTGGCCAGAGGTACCATGATCTTGTAGCTCTAAAAGGTTCACCATCACTGCTGTATGAAATCCTTAAAAGGGTTCCCATTGACTAAATCTGAGACTCTTTGTGCCTCAAAATAAATAATGAGGGTCATAAATTATAACCCATAGAATGAAACAGAAACCTATGAGATGATGCTGAAATAGTAAGTGGCAGGTGTGCAGGTGCACACCTGTAATTCCAGCACTCAGGAGGCTGAGGCAGGAGGATCATCTTGAGTTCGAGGCCAGCCTGGGCTACAGAGCAAGAGCCTGTCTCAAAAAATCAATCAACCCACCAATCCTCAGTACTGAAAAAAAAAAAAAAAAAAAAAAAAAAAAAAAAAAAAAAAAAAAAAAAAAAAAAGAAAAGAAAGAAAGAAAAGTAAATAATGGAAAAGGGCTAAGTCTTTCTAACAGCATAATGCCCACTAATACATGCAGAGGGAAGGACAGAAGTAGAAAATCAACATTTGTAAAGTGCATGCTTAGCATGTGTGAGAGCGTGGGTTCCATCCCCTGTACCACAAAGACGGGAAGTATCAAGACCACTTGGTAACATAATTCATTCCAACATCATAGATCAAACAAAAAACCATCAGTGGGGTTTAAACAATAAAAGTCTGATGAAAGAGTATATTTACATTGTCTCAGTGAAACTTCCCCCAGAGATACTTGGTATTACAAGAGGAGACTTTTACGTGGAGAGAACTGAATGTCTGCACCTTGACCAAGGGATCAAACTGACACCCGGTGCCCCTGGAATGACACACTGAAGGACACAGCACCACACCTCAGCATGTACAAGGCCCTGAATTCAAGCCCTGGCACCAAAACAAAAGATTAACATCTGGAGAATCCAGGTGAAAGGGACACAAATACTTTTATATTATTTTTGAAACCTGAGTCTAAAATTATTTCAAAATAAAAACTTAAACCGGATCTCTCACCATGTAGTAAACTGAAATAAAAATGGGCTAGGGGTGGTGGTTAACACCTGTAATCCCAGCACTGGGGAGGCTGAGGCAGGAGGATCACTATGAGCCTGGGCTACATAGTGAGTTCAAGGGGCTGGAGGCATAGCTCAGCAGCACAGCACCTGCCTGGCAAGCACAAGGTCCTGATTTGATTCCTGGTACCAAAAAAAAAAGTGACATAGTGAGTTCAAGACCAGCCTGAACTATGTAGCAAGACTATCTCTAATAAGTAAAATTAACTTAAAAATAAAAAAAAATCAATTGATCTAAATATTAAAACACTTAACCTGCTGGAAGACAAAATAGGTGAAACTCTTGAAGACAAGGGCTTTTTGAACAGAACCCCAACTGTACAAGAAAGAATATCAAAGGAAAGAGATTATAGTATATTAATTTAAAAGCTTCTAAAAATAAAAAGCTTCTGCACAGCAAAGGAAACAAATAACAGAGTAAACAGACAATCCTAAGAATGAAAAAAAATTCTGCCAGGTGTACCTTGGACAGAGGTCTAATATCTAGGATATATAAAGAACTAAAAGTTCTACACTCCCCCAATAAAGACCCAATCACAAACAGGAATCTGAAATGAACAGACACTTCTCAGAGAGAGTACAAATACCCAATAAATACATGAAAAAATGCTCAACATCACTGGCCATAGAGAAATGCAAATTAAAACAACATTGAGGCTGGGTGTGGCAGCGCACGCCTGTAATCCCAGCACTCGGGAGGCTGAGACAGGAGGATTGTTGGGAGGTTGGGAGTTTGAGACCAGCCTGGGCTACAAAGTGAGCTCAAGGCCACCCTGAACTGCATAGGGAGACCCTATTTCAAAAAGACAAAAAAAAAAAAAACTGAGATTCCATCTTACTGCAGAAAGAATGGCTATCATCAAGAAATCAAATAATGACTACCGCTTGAGAGGCTGTGGGGAAAAAGGAACCCTTCTACATAGGTGGTAGGAGTGTGAACTACTACAATCATTATGGAAATCAGTATGGGGAGTCCTCATAAAATTAAAAATAGAAATTCCATTTGATTCAGCAATTCAGCTTCTAGGTATCCTCCCCAAAGAGTTAAAGCCATCATATTACAGTGATATATGCATATCCATGTTTATAGCAGCACAATTCATAATAGCTAAATCAACAGATGAATGGATAAAGAAAATGTGGTATTTATACACAGTAGAGTACTATTCTGATATAAAGAAAAATAAATTTACATCATTTGTGGGATGTACCTCGAGACCTTAATGCTAAGTGAAATCAGACACATAAGCTTAATATAGTTTCTCTTACACAAGAAACCCAAAATATAAATAAAAAATAAAATAAATAGATAATAGGAAAAAAGGAGACAGGTCTTTTGAGAGGAAGACCAGGAGATGGAGGGAGGGGGCAGGAGGAGAGGGAGAGAGAATGTAGAAAGAATTAAGACGTGTTATGCACATGGACCAACTCTCTACAATGAATATAATCATTATGTACTGCAAATGCATGCTAAGAAAAATTTTAAGAGTGAGCCAGTGAAGCATGCCTGTAATCTCAGCACTCTGGGAGGCTGAGGAAGGAGGGTGGCAAGTTTAAGCACATCCTGGGCAACTTAGCAACTTATCAGACCCTGTCTCAAAATAAAAAGGGGTAGGGGGGTTAGCTCAAAGGAAAGGCCCTAGGTTCAATACTCAGCACAGCAAAACTTAATGAAGTAGGGGCTAGGGATTTAGCGCAGCGGCACAGCGCCTGCCTGGCAAGTGCAAGGTCGTGAGTTCAAATCCTGGTACGGGGGGAGGGGGGTTAATGAAGTAAGTAAGTAATGGGCTGGGGATGTAGCTCAGCGGCATAAGCACTTGCCTGGCAAACCTGAGGTCATGAGTTCGATTCCCAGTATCAAAAAAAAAAAAAGTAAGTAATGTTATTTTTAACATTTTAAAAGAGAGATAGATACTTGGGGGGCTGGGGATTTAGCTTAGTGGCACAGCACCTGCCTGGCAAGCGCAAGATCATGAGTTCGATTCCCGGTACCAGAAAAACAACAACAACAACAAAAAAGACACTTGGGCGGCAGGAGGGAACAAAAAAAATAAATAAATAAAATAAAATAAAATATAAATAGCGGGCATGGTGGCGCATGCCTGTAACCCCAGCACTTGGGAGGCTGAGGCAGGAGGATCGTTGCGAGTTCGAGGCCAGCCTGGGCTACATAAGTGAGTTCAAGGACGGCCTGAACTGCATAGGGAGACCTTGTCTCAAAAACACAAAAGAAAAAAATAGAAATAAAATTAAAATATAAAATGAAAATGACTCATTGGCTGCTGTGCAGAGAACAGCCTTTGGGGACAGAGATGGAAGCAGGGAGAAGGCAAAGGTACGGTGACGGTGATGCAGACACCCAGGATGCCCCTCCCAGGTCCTCTGTGCTCCTCCCCAACACCATACCTGGGTGAGCCAAGCAGACGGAAGGTGAGGGTGGGGTCTCTCAGCTCCTGCAGCAGCTGTGGAACAGTGTGTGTCTGTCAGTGTCAAGAGGCAGCACACCCCTAGTGTGGCTCCCTTCGGAACAAGGAAGAGTCCAACTACCCAGGCAACCAACCTTTCCAACATCGAGCAGTGTGACCTCAGGCAAGTTACTTAACCTCATGGTGCCTCATGTAATAACATGTAAAATCTTAGTACCTACCCACTAGGTGATTATGAAGATTAAGTAAAATATTAAAGTGTAAGGGCAGAGTCTGATACACTGTTCTGTGAGATAAACCCTATTTTCTCTTCCATTTTCCCAATGAGGACCAGGAGGCACAGGCAGGTCACATGCCTACGGTCACCCAGCCTGAGGTCCCTGCTCTTGATCACCCTCTATCTCCATGGCGATCCCTGTTTTGTAGCTGGAGAAGAGAGGCTCAGAAAAGCCAGCTCCCTCAAACAAGGTCACACAGTGGCTCAGGTTCAGACTGGGACTCAAGAGACACTGGGGCAGAGAAGGAGACCTATCTGCCCTGCTGGTGGAAGGAGCTTCTGGCTCAGGAGTTCACCGAGCCCATCTGCCAGAGGGGATGACTGAGGCAGGAGGAGCGGAGTGGTGGTCTGCAGAGGAGGGGCTTACCCGGTCAGAGCCTGGAGCCCACACCTGCACTCCATGCTTCCAGAAGGCCTGAAGCCGACCCCCAACCATAGCTGAAGGGAAAGCAGCACCGTTAACCGCGGGTCTCTCCCGCCTCTGCTGACCCCGGCTCCACCCCTGCACTTACCCACAGCCTCCATCGCTTCTGTCATGGGGATCTCTGGGGTGCGAAGGCCCGGGACTGGGGCCCCCTCTGGGGTCACCAGTTTCAGGCAGCCTAGAAGTGGATAGAGTGAGGGACTTAAGAACTGTGAACATGACTGAGAGGGCCACTAAGGGACAGGGCAACGGATTCAGTGAGAAAAGCTAAAGAGAGGTGAGTGGAGTGGGCCAAGGTCTAGAAGGGCTCAGGCTTTCCTTTTTTTAATTTATTTTTTTTTTAAGTACTGGCCTATTATCAAATACAAGGCCTCTGAACTGAGCTACCTCCCGAGGACTCCACCTTTTTAAATTTTGAAGCAGGATCTTGCTAAATTGCTAAATTCCCCTGGCTGGGCTTGAACCTGGAATCCTCCTGTCTCAGCCTCCCTGAGTGCCGGGTTACAGGTGTTTGCCACTACCCCGGGGCAAAAGGGGCTCGGGGTCTCTGAGAGGCAAGAAAGGCAAGAAAACAGGGAGGGTAAACAGAAGAAAGGTTCTTACCATCCATCAACACCATCACCATGTCATCCTTTACCTGGGTCACCTGCACTGCTCCCTTGTGCTCTGAGAAAAGGCTGGGTTGGCTAAGGGCGACTCTGCCAGGTTCCCCACAGCGCCCCCAGAAGGCTGCCTCGGCTAGACACTCCTCAAACTCCCGGCAAGGAAGCTAAGCCCCACCCACCATCCGGGCCCCACCCCGTTATCAAACTCACCAATTAAAATAAACCCGCTATTCTCCGCCCTTTTCAGGATTGGCTCAGGAGAAGCCCCGCCCAGCCACTCAGACCCGCCCCTCAGCGAGACAGCCCGGCTCACCCGTGCTCATCTCGCCCAGCCAGCAGGACAGCGCGCCGAAGCGCACGGTGTGGAAAAGCACCGACTTCGCCGGCCGCCCGGGGCTCACGCCGATGCACACAGCCGGCAGCTCTGAGCCCGGCGTGGTCAGCAGCGCGAACACCGGCAGAGGCGTGGGCAGCGGGAACAGCACCTGCTGCGGGCCCACGGGGAGGGCGGGCTCAGAGGGGCGGAACCTTGCCGTGGGCCGGGACTTCCAAAACTTCTAGGCATTTCAGGGGAGTCAGAGGCCTCGGAGGACTTAGGTGGTGCGAGGCGTGTGGCCTCAGGTAGGTGTGGCTTAGTTTGGGGTTTGGGGCTGGCCTCCCTGGCCACAGAGAGGCAGGGACCACAAGCTACGGGGCTGCAAGGGCAGCAAAATCTCAGGCTCAAAGGGACAGAACCTGAATGGAGTCTCCTTAGAGGCAGGGCGGGGGACCGAGGAGGCGGGGCATAGGGTACGAGAAATAATCGGGCCCGGTGTGAGCGGGGAGCTGAAGGATCAGAAAGTCTCCAGGAGAGGGACCCCCAGGTGGGCGGGGCGTCGCCCGGCCGGGCCTGGGTCGAGGCGGGGCTTCGTGGAGCTCTCTAGGCAAGCGCAAAGGTGCAAGGCCCCAGCCACTGCCCGGGCCCCCAGCATCCCCTTCCCCAGAGCCCTTACCCGGACAAGCAGGAACTTGTTCATGGGCTGATACCACTGGAGCAGAACCACCGACGTCTCCAAGGCCCCGCACAGGAAAGGGCCCCCGGAGCTCGCACTCTCCGCTGCGGGGGTGAGCAAGGATGGATGGACCAGCGTCAGTCCCTTCTCTTCCGCCTCTTCTCCGAGAGGCCCAGAGTGCCACCCTTCTTTCCCGGGCTCTGGACACCCAGCCTGAACTCCACAATCCTCCCAGTGGACGCTGCCCGCGCCCTGGCCCTGCCTCCCCCGCCTAGCCCTGGGCTTCGCTCTCACCCACACAGCACGCCCGGCAACCCTTGGTGTCCTGGATCTTGGTGGAGACCATGTTCTTCCTGAGGAAAGGTAGGTGTGAGTGGGCGCTGGGACGGCTGCGGAGGGCCGGGAGGTCCGCGGAGCCTGTGCTGCGCTGAGGCTGGTACCTTGCCAGCAGCCGGTGGGGGCTGATGTGCGCGATGGGGCTGCCCATTCTGGTCTCCTTCCGTTCCAGCAGGCCCAGGATGCTATGAGAATACAGGTGGGGGGTCTTTCCTGCAGTGCGTGCGCATGTGGGGGGAAGTAGGAAGCAGTTATAGGACCCCAGATACCACCTCCTTCCCCATCCCTGAAACTCCCAAGGCTGTAGATGTCAAGCGCTCTCTGTTCAGTCCTCACTCGCTCAAACATTTGAGAGGCCAGTGTGGGCCAGGCGTTGTACTCTGGTGAACAGCAGTGAGCAAAATAAGTATGTTCCCTACCTTCACAGTGTTTAGCCCCACAGGAGTTATAACCCATAAGATGAAGTTATACATTGTACACCTATTAAAGCTTAAGAAAATACATCTTGCTGGGCATGGTGGTGCACACCTGTAATCCCCCACTCAGGAGGCTGAGGCAGGAGTATCATTGTGAGTTCGAGCCCAGCCTGGGCTACAAAGTGAGCTCAAGGACAGCCTGAACTGCATAGCCAGACCGTGTCTCAAAAAAGACAAAAAAACAAAACAAAACAAAACAAAACAAAACAAAAACATAATCTCGAATTTCTCCTGAAGTTTGTCGTTGCAGATGTGACATTAACTGGCTTGTAAATCCTCTTTGGAGTCAGCCATGGTGGCAGACGCTCTCACCACTCAGGAGGCGGAGGTAAGAGGACCAAAAGTTGGAGGCCAGCCTGGACTACATAGTGAGTTCAAGGGCAGCCTGGATTCATAGTGAGACCTTTGGGCGGGCACTTGGTATGGTGGCCCACACATGTAATGCCAGCACTCTGGGAAGCTGAACCAGAAAGCTCAAAACTTTGAGTCTAGCTAGAGTAATTTAGGAACTTAGCAAGATCCATCTCAAAGTAAAAAAATGGGCTGAGGACACCGCTCTGTGCAAAGACCCCAGGTTCAATCCTCAGTACTGAAAAGAAGACCCAGAAGTTCTTCTTTGGCTTGCTGTGTCCCTCAAAATTAGAAATTCTTTTATGCAAAACATTTTTTAAAAATGACACACCTTTTTTTTGCACGCTGGGGATGAAACCCAGGGCCTCACGCATGCTAGGCAAGTGGTTTGCCCCTGAGCTTTTCCAAGCCTAGATTTTTAAATTGGTAATTTGCTCACCTCTTAGTAAAGTGGGAATAAGTTCTGATGGTCATCTGAACATCAAAGCTGTTTAAGGACTAATATAGAAATCAACTCAAGACTGACTTGAGAAGTGAGGACTACTGTGAGCTCCAACTTATAGGCAGGAAAACTGAGGTTCAGAGAGCTGAAGTCCCTTGTCTGACATCCCACCAGGTAAAGGTGGCTGGAATTTGAACCCACAGATTGTGATGAAGAAGCCTGTTTTTTTTAAAGCTGTGCTCACTCACCTTCCAAATCCTGACACACACACACACACACACACACACACACACACACACACACACCTGCTCTTCCCTCAACCCAAGGCCACACCTGACAGAGACATGAGGACATTGTTGATGGAGTACAGCCAGGTTGTCCGGCTAGGAAAGAGCTGCAGAGAACGGAGGTAATGAGTCATGTGACACCCAGTGACCCCCCCCAACTCCACCCCGTTCCTGCGCCACCCCAGGCACAGGGCCTTACCATCTCCAGCGTGGCCTCCTGATCATTCCGGTTCAGGATGAAAATGCCTTCCTCTGCCCCTAGGAGCAGGTGCTGGTCTGCAGGGGACAGACAAGGAGGACACTAGGACCCACTTCCTCCTGGGGCCTCCCAGCCCCCACTAGTCTGAATCCAAACAGTGACCCTCACTCAGGCCCTCAGTTTTGACGCTTTCTTCACTCTCAGCACAAACTGATACTCTCAGCCTCTGTTTCCCTGAATTTGACTACAAATGCTGCCCAGTCCCATAGACCTGCCTTAGTATCCCTTATCAGTGGCTTGCCAGATTCTGGGGGTTCTTCCCCTCCACCCTACAAATCCTGGCCCTTCATCTCCCCAGAAGTCACCCTGCCTATGGACCTGCCACCCAAAATAGCCCTTTAACTTCTGTCCTTCTTTGTGCCCACGTCTGACCTCCACCTGTTAATCCTGTCTTCACACTGATCCTCACACGCAAGACACCCTCAGACGGAACTTTTTCCATACAGCGTGGCCTTTTAAGTCTGATGCTACTCCTTCAGCACTGACATCTGATTGACCTCGTCTATCTCTGATTCCTCCTCTGTCCTTTTCTGCTGCATTCTCTCTCTCTCTTTTTTTTTGTCTTTTTGAGACAAGGTCTCGCTATGCAGTTCAGGCTGGTCTTGAGCTTACTTTATAGCATAGGCTGGCCTCAGACTCTCAACGATCCTCCTGCCTCACCCTCCCCAGTGCTGAGATTACAGGGGTGCACCACCACACTCAGCTTCTGCTGCATTCTGATCCCTAAAACTTTTTTTTAAATTTTTGGAGATACAGTCTCATTCTGTAGCCCAGGCTGCTTCAAACTCACACATCCTCCTGCCTCAGCCTCCTGAGTGCTGGGTTTACAGGTGTGTGTACCACCGTACCCAGCCTGATCCCTAAAACTTCTGACCCAAAATGCTGATCCTAGTCTCTCCACCATTAACCTCCAGCTGTTAACCATTTGTCTCCATCCTATCCCAAACTCTAGTCATTCTGTAGCGTTTGGACACCTGTCTCCCCCTGTGTAATTTCGCTAGTTTTTACAAACTCATCTTCCATTTTTTCCTCTTGGATCCCCAGATTCTGGGCCTCTTCCTACCTCATTGAGCCCCGTGTGCCCTCCCCATCCCATCCCCCAGGCCCACCCTTGGTGGAGGGGTGTGTCCAAGTGGCTGTGCTGTGGATCCGGAGCGGGCAGCCGTTGAAGAGCTTCACAAGCAGGGCGCATCCCTGGGTGGGTGGCCCCAGGGCCGGGCAGTAGATCCAGAGGAGGAGGGCAGGGGACAGGAAGGCGCAGTAGTTAAAACTCTGGAGCAAGAGTGCCTGGGTTCAAATCCTGCCTCTGCCTCTCCAGGTTACATAGTCACCCCCTTCATCTCTACTTCTACCTCCCGTGGATTTAGTTATCCACACCCAGCTGTGATCCAAAACTACTACATAGAAAATTCCAGGAAAAAAACTGTAAGTTCCAAGTAGCTGTTATTACAGTGCATCGTTCTAATTATCCTATTTGATTAGTAGTTGCTAGGGTTAATCTCACTGTGACAAATTTATCAATTTAACTTCATCACAGGTAAGTATGTATAGGAAGACATATACGTACATACACAGATGTATGTGTGTGTGTAGCTGGGTACTACCCACAGTTTCAATGTCCACTGGGGGTCTTGAAACGTATCCCTGGCAGACAATGGGGGACTGTTATACGTACAACCTTGGGCAAACTCTTTAGCCTGTCTGTGCCTCGGGTTCCCCATCTGTGAGGGGTGGGATCACAGTTACCTCTGTGCTGCCTGTTTCTGTCTGCTGAGGATTTACGCCATGCAAAACCAGACAGACACCCGGGAACCCCTTCCAACCCTTGCCCCAGCCCAGGGCACACAGCGGGGCCTCACCTTCCGCTTCATCTTCTCTTTCTTAGGGGGCAGCCGTGGGGGCTGGTCGGGCTCCCGGGAAGCTGGGTTCCAGAGTGAGGGCTCTGAGAAGGGTTGGGGACAGATCAGCCCTCGACCCCTCACCCCGGCCCCGCCTCCACCCCAGCCTTCCCGTTACCTGAGTAGGCGGTGAGATGGGGGCTGTGGGTGACTGGAGGAGGCCCAGGACGAGGGGTACGTGGGGGAGGCCCGCTGGCGCACCGGACCAGCACCCCGGGGCTCAGCTGCCCTTCATCCCCCAGCCCCCCAGGACCATCATCTGAGGGAGACCGGAGCTTGGGCTTTGGAGACAGGAAAGGAGGGTGGGGAGATACATCAGGGGACCTCAGAGAGCGGTCACTCTTTACACCCCGGGCCCTCCCTCCACCAGAACTGCGAGTCAGCCCTGGCTCTAACCCACCCCACAAAGTCCTGCCTCCCCTTCAGCCTTGCCAACACCCCCCCACATCAGCACACTCAGAAGCCAAAGGGTTAATACTGGACCCAGCAGAGGACTCGCAGGAGTTCTACCCCCGGGTTGAGGGATGCCACCTCCAGGTCCCAGTGTACCCAGCATCCCACGCTGCCAGACTCCCAGCCCTGGCCAGCACCAGGTCCTGGGCCTCGGGACCTGGCCTTGGGGCCTACCTTGGGGGGCAGTGGGGGAGGTGCGTCCTCTACTGGGGCAGGGCTGAAACACAAAGATGGGGTGAGCAGGTGGGGGAATGGGGAACAAGGACAGAAGATGGGGGTAGCCAGGCTCTGAGGCCTGGGATGAGGATGCCAGAAAGGAAGGGGTGACTTGGAGGTGGGGGTTACAGGACAAGTTGCCATGGTGACAACAGTACCAGCAACTCTGGGCTGGAGTCTTCTTCACACCCCCAGGCACTTGGGTAATTAACCTCCCTGATGCTGTTCTCACTTTTCTCCTGCTCCACATTAACACGCACGACACACGGGGAATGAATGAGGAAGGGGCTCGAGGCTGTCACTGGCCCGGGGAAGGGGAAAGATGCGGGCCTAGGCTGGCTGCTGCAGTGGAAGTTTAGATCTGTGGCTCAAGGCCTGGCTTTTGGAACATTTCCAAGAGCCAGGGCTGGGGATATAGCTCAGTGGTAGAGTACTTGCTTAGCATCTCCAGGAGCCAAGGTGCATTCTGGGATTGGGCAAGAAGATGACAAAAGAGTCTGGCCTGGGGAGAAGCTAAAGTGGAGGCTTAGAGGTGCATCTGGAGCAACATCTGGGAAAGATCTGGGGTTGGAGCAGGAGGACATTCTGGAGGGAACTGGGGTCAGGTCTGGGTTCAGGGCAGGTAGGGGGTGGATCAAAGGTTGTATAAAAAGATGGAGCTGGGCATGGTGGTGCAGATCTATAATCCCAGCACTCAGCAGGCTGAGGCAGGAGGGTCCCCAGGAGCTCAAGGCCAACCTGGGCTACAAAGTGAGTTCAAGGCCAGCCTGCACTACATAGCAAGACCTTGTTTCCAAGGGGAAAAAAAAAAAAAAAGGTGGAGGCTGGGGTGGAGGTTGACTGGGGCATCAGGCCTTAGAGGTGGGGAGTACAGGGTGGCCTGGGTTAGGGACCAGGGGCTGGGGCGGAAGGAAGGAAGGGGAGGGCTGCACTGGGAGTGAGGCTGGGCCTCAAGGGTCAGAGATGGAAGGAAGGCAGGGGGAGGCTGGCATCTCCTTGGAGACAAGATGAGGTACAGTTGGGGGGCTGCTGAAGTGGGGGTGGCTAGGGTGAGAATCTGTAGGGCAAGCACTGGGCTTCTTACTTTTTTTGTTTGTTTTGTTTTGTTTTTTGTTTTTTTTCCGGTACCAGGAACCGAACTCACGACCTTGCGCTTGCCAGGCAGGCGCTGTGCCACTGAGCTAAATCCCCAGCCCCGAGCTGGGCTTCTTACATGTCCACGTCGTCATAGTCGTCATCAGACTCTGATAGGTGGCTCCTGAAGAGTGACAGGCATGAGCCTCAGGTGGCCCCCACGCACATCCCAGGGCCCCACCCTCACCCCTGGGGCCCCTGACCTGGGACTGCTGCTCCTGAGGTCTCCAGGGAGCTGTAAGCACACCTGCGGGAGAGGAAAGGGGTCAGCAGTAGCCCAGTGCCAGGGGGCATCTGGGGGAGCAGGGAGGCATCTCACCCTGTCAGCTGGGGGTCTGGGCTCTACTCCTTGGAGCCTATGGAACTCCATGTGGCGCCCTGGAGTGGGAGGTGAAAACCCAGTGAGCCAAGGGCAGTGGCTTGAATTGGGGAAGACAAAATAGAGTTGGTAGAGCTTTGGAGTCGAGGTCTTAGAGACTGGCACCGTCCCTCAGCAAGCGGGGTCAAGGTTTGGGACCGGGAGATAGAGATGGGCAGCGTGGTCACACAGGTCGTTTTCAGAGTCCACCTGGTATCAGGGGCTCTGAGATTTCTGAGGTCTCTTGTGGGGTAAGGGCAGTGACAAGCTGTCATGGAGTCTGTTTGCAGCTCAGGACAGATGGTGGCTCTGTGATCATTCTGTAGGTCATTTTGAGGTTTTCTGGCCTCTCTTATGGGATCAGATGGTGGTGAGGGTCTCCAGTGGCAGGGAAGGGAAGGGGAATCTCTTCAGGGTCAGGTGTCCCCACACTGTAGGAGTGTCTACTCACGACCGCAGTCTGCATCTGGGATCCCCAGCGAGGTGGCCCGGTGGGTTGATCGGATCCGCCGAGGGATGGCAGGGGGTGGCTGGGCAGAGGGGCAGCAGCATCAGGGCTCACGGCCCAGCAGCCCCCCTACAGCCTGTGGGCCCGGCCCTGAGCCTCCTCTCCCAGAACCCTCTGGAGCTCCCCTGCCTCCACCTGCTGTGGCTTTGAGCAGCTTCAGGAAGGCGTTCCTGGGGGCGCTGTGTGTGGGACACAGCTTGAACAAAGACCTGGAGGTTCCTGGGCTCTGGTCAGCCAAGGCCCTCACCTCAGGCTCCTCGTCTTCACTCTCACCAACGGGGGGGCCCTTTCCGGGGTTCCTCAGTTTGTCAAGAAGATCCAGGATCAAGCCTCTGTTTAGCCCAGGCTGGGACACCAGCTGATGCTGGGGGAGGGGAGGGGAGGGAAGGTCAGCAGACAGAAGGCTGGGGGCAGGGCGGGGGCAAGGGCTTGAGACCCTGTCCCGGGAGTCGAGTGGGGAAGGTCCAGCTGCGGGAGCGGGCGGGGAATCTAGGGAACTCAGGAACCCGGGGAATTCTGAGAAGCTTTAAGGGGTTAGAAGAAGTCAGGATTCTCTGAAGGGGGCTTGGAGAATTCCAGAGGTGTCCTAGAAGGGACTAGGGGTTTCCTTGGAATTGGAGAGGCCTCTCTGGAATGGGTCTTGAGACCCTGAGGAGTTTGCAAGTTCTAGTAACTCAGGGATCTGAGAAAGGTCGGGGATACGGTGTGGAGGTTTGGGGGGCATCCTGGGAAATCTGAGGGACAAGGGCTTTAAAGGGGGCACAGGGGTCCTTGGGGATCACAGAGGGCCCCGGAAGGTGGGTCCTGGGCTGAGAACTGGGGGGCTCCTCAGGGAGGGGAGGTTTACACTGAGCATCTTGGTGGCACCAGGTCGTTTCTTGGGGCTCTTAGTGAGGGTGATCTTGACAAAGTTGTGGAAAGCAGCAGACCTTGGGGAGGAAGAAGGCAGGTTCTGGGGTGAGGGGAGCAGAGACTTCCGGAGGCCGGGGCTTGCCCTCACCCACGTCCCCTCCTTACCATTTGCTCTTTTCTTTCAGCCGGGGAGGCTGGTAGCCACTCTTGGTCATGAGGAATAGAACTCTAGAACAGTAGGGGCACAGCATGGCGTCCAGGTCCCCGAGGGGGACACAGCTGCACTGGGGTCAGCAGACGGCAGCGAGGGACACGTGGGAACGGGGTGGGGGCTCACAAAGTGCTAGGAGGCCACTTCTAAGGGAAGCCACTTATCATACTCTAGAGCCACGGCCGCGCAGCAGCAGGCTCGAGATGGGGTCCCTGAGACAGGGCTCCCTGCCGTGGAAGGCTGCAGCCGCGGCCGCTGCTCAGGAAGCACAGGGAGGCCCCCTGAGGGAAGCTGTGTGGCATCTTCAGGGCCAGGGCTGCAGGTCTGTGAGCCCGGGGGACCCGCCCCACCTGCCTACCTGAGAGGGTGCACATCGAAGAGCGGGGGCTGCAGCTCAGCTAGTTCAATGGCTGTGATACCCAGGGACCAGATGTCACACAGCTCGTTATATCCTCCCTTCAGGGCCACCGCAGCCACTTCCGGAGCCATCCTGGGGACAGAGACCCTCAGAGAGCCAGAGATAACACGGAGGGAGGGAGGACGGGGAGGAGGAAGATGAGAAGGGGGTGAGGGGAGATGGGGCCCAGAGAGAGCCAGATGGAAAAGGACACAGAGTGCCAGGCATGGCTCTGTGAGGCTGAGGCAGGAGGATCAAAAGTTCAAACCCAGTCTGGGCAACTCAGTGACTTAGCAAGACCCTGTCCCACAAAAGATAAAAAATAAAAAGATCTGGGGATCTAGCTCAGGGTGAAGGCCCTGGGTTCAGTCCCCACTACTACTAGGAAGTCCCCACTTCTATCAGATAGAGATAGAAACAAAGAGGCGGGAGAGGGCCTCGAGCTGAGAAAAGATAGGGAGAGACAGATCAAGATAAAAACCAACGCAACGCTGAGAGGAGCAGGCAGACGGGCACAGAGTGACCGGATGAAGTCAAGATGAACCAAAGACAGAGAAGGAGACTCGCAGGGATGGGGGCTGGCGGGATAGCTCGGAGGCCGAGTGTGTGCCTGGCATACTCAAAGCCCTGAGTTCAGTCCCCAGTACCACCGCCAGAAAGAAAAGGTCTCAGTGGAGATTCCCAGGGAGCCAGGGTCGGAAAAGCCACTGCCCACCAAGCCCATCCCAGCCTGTACCCCTCACCAGTAGGGTGTCCCAATGAAGGAGAGGCGTCGCGCCAGTGTCGCCCCAATCTGAGCTGAGATACCGAAGTCAGCTGGAGATAGAGGGGTGATATGATGTCCCCATCCTCGCCCAGTCAACCGCTGTCACCTCCCACCAGCCACACTCACCCAGCCTGACCTCCCCGGCATCATTGATAAGGATGTTGGCTCCCTGGGGACGAGAGGACAGACAGACGCAGTCAGGGATCCCACCCCAGTCCACTGTCGCCCCACCCCACAGCTCCCCAAATGCCTCTCCCACCTCCCAGGCCTCAGGACACACACACACACACACACACACACACACCCCGTGGCACCCTTAGTCCCTCAGGACACACACACACACACACACACACACACCCGTGGCACCCTCAGTCCCTCAGAACACTCACACACACACACCCGTGGCACCCTCGGTCCCTCAGGACACTCACACACACACACACACACACCCGTGGCACCCTCAGTCCCTCAGGACACTCACACACTCACACACACACACACACCCGTGGCACCCTCAGTCCCAGCGCACCTTGATGTCCCGGTGAATCTTCTTCTGGGAGTGCAGGTAGGCCAGTCCCTGGGGAGAAGCATGGTAAGGGACACCGTGAGGCCTGCTGGAGAGAGAGGGGCCCCACCACCCGTCCAAGGCCCTCAGGCCTCTCCTCACCTGGAGCACTTCCCGGCAGACATAGCTAATCTGGAGCTCAGACAGGGAGCCCGTCACTGCAAAGGTCAGCCCGGCCAGGCCAGGCCAAGGTTGGGTGGCAGCCAGGAAGCTGGGCCCACCCACACCAGTTGAGAAGGGCCCAAAGGGGAGGGGACCCCACGGGACAAGTGGGCAGGAGATGAGGGATGCTGACGACAGAGAGGTGGCTGTGCAGGGCACCGAGCCAGAGGGACACAGACATTCAGCAGACAACTGTTCCACTGTCTACCTTTTTTTTTATTGTCTTTTTGAGACAGGGTCTCCCTATGCAGTTCAGGCTGGCCTTGAGCTCACTTTGTAGCTCAGGCGGGTCTTGAATTTGCAGCGATCCTCCTGCCTCAGCCTCCCAAGTGCTGGGATTACAGGCGTGCGCCACCACGCCCGGCTCCACTGTCTACTGTATGGCAGGTGCTAGGAACACAGCTGTGGACAAGAGACACATCCCTGGCCTCCTGGAGAGACATTCCACGTGAGACAGACAGCAAGCAAGGTCACAAGTGAAATAGTGTGTCGGGCTGGCCGAGGCTCAGTGGCAGATTACTTGCCTAACACATGCTAGGCCTCTGGTTCCATCCCCAGCATGGCAAAAAAAGAAATAGCAAGATGCTAGTGGCAAGAAAAAGAACAAGAAAAAACAACAGGAAATATGTGTGGGAAGGGTTATGACATTTTACATCAGGTGGTCAGCAAGGCTACTTTAAGAAGCTGACAGAGGCTGGGCATGGTGCCATGCATCTGTAATCCCAGTAGTCTGGGAGGCTGAAGCGGGAAGGTTGCAAGTTTGAGTTGTACCTGGGCAATTAGCAACTTAGCCAGACCCTGTCCCAAAATATAAAATAAAAAAATGGGGCTGGGGATATAGCTCAGTGGCACAAGCGCCTGCCTGGCAAGCTTAAGGTCCTGAGTTCAATCCCTGGTACCACAAAAAAAAAAAAAAAAAAGACTGGGGATGTGGCTCAGTGCAAAGGCCCTGGGTTCAACCCCCCAGTACTGTAAATGAAGAAGAAGGTGGGGGAGGAGGGGAAAGTAACAGGTGGGGACATGAAGGGCCCCGTCCCACTGGCAGGGAGAAGAGGAACAGCAAGTGCAGGGGTGGGAGGGAGGAGAGTGTTGGGGAGGGGCTGGTCAGCTGGGTGGGCTTGGCCGGGGGACCGGCTGGGGGAGGGGTGCTTGCAGATGAGGAAAGGCTAAGACAAAAAACAACGAGAGCAGAGCCAACAAGAGAGGGACCAGCGTGGGGACACAGATGCATTCTGAGGTGAGAAGAGGCAGAGCAGTGGAGAGAGGGCAGCAGAGAGGACGGTGCCCAGCAAGCAGCTCTCACAGAGAGCTGGCTGAGTCACTTCCTTCGTATGGGCCTCAGTTTCTCCCCTGCATTTTGTTTGTTTGTTTGTAGTGCTGGGCGTAGAACCCAGGGCCTCAAGCCTGCTAGGCATGCACACGACCGCTAAGCCACATCCACCACCTCCCCCCGCTTCTTAATGAAGCCCTTCCTCCTGACATTTGAGGTCTTGGAAGAGACCAGAGGCAGTCAAGGAGGTATCTGAAAACAGAAGCGAGCATCAGAGATTCAGTGAGCAAAAGAGAAAAAAAAAAAAAAAAGGAAACTCAGAGAGGAGCTAGGTACAGTGGTCCATGCCTGTCATCCCAGCATTCTGGGAGGCTGAAGCAGGAGGATCTCAAGTTCCGGCCCAGCCAGAGTAAATCAATGATTTAAAGAGATACTGTCTCAAAACGAAAAAAAAAAGAAAGGGGCCAGGCATGGTGGCATACGCCTGTAATCTCAGCACTCTGGGAGGCTGAGGTAGGAAGATCTCAACTTCAGGTTTCACCTGAGCAATTTAGCAAGGCCTTATCTCAAAATAAAAATAAGGGGCTGGAGATGTGGCTCAGTGCAACAGCCGTGGGTTCAATCACAAAAAAAAAAAAAAAAAAAAATAGTTGGGCATGGTGGCGCACACCTTTAATCCCAGCACTCAGGAGGCTGAGGCAGGAGGATTGCTGAGAGTTGGAGACCAGCCTGGACTACAAAGTGAGCTCAAGGCCAGCCTGAACTGATTAGCGAGACCCTGTCTCAAAAAGATAAAAATAAATAAATAAAAATTTAATTAATAGAAGAAGAATAGCAACAAGAGAGAGAAGAACAAAAGGCTGGGGATTTAATGTAGCTTAGTGCAGAAACCCTGGGTTCAGTCTCCAACACCGCGAAAAAGAAAACAAACAAACAAACAAAAAAAAAAAACAGAAGAAAAACAGAAATTCAAAGAGGTGACCAGAGGCGCTCTCTCTCCTCTTTCTCCCTCCCTCCCTCTCTCTCTCTCTCTCCCTCTCTCTCTCTCTCTCTCTCTCTCACACACAC